CCCAAATAATGTTCCTCCTAGTGATTGTAGAAAGAATCCTATAAAGCTTGTCTTGGCCACCTGAGCTGACTACTACTACTACAATGACTATATATTGGACAATATTGGAGTAATGTAACAGTATGTGTGAGGTTTTGGTTGTGATCCACAGTCACTCATCACGTTCCTACCAAGCTCATGGTGAAGAGCCTCTTGAAGCTTGTTGAATGCATGTTGTTGAAGAGCTCCCCACACGAAAGGTGTGCAATAGCATCACCAGAGGTAAAAAAAATTGAGGCGTAGCCTTGGATAAAACGTCAAAAGGATCCCAAGAAAACAGTGCAGCTGTGGACTGAGGTCAGGGGTGAAAACTCCAAAAATTCTTTGTGTTGTGCCATGTGAGGGACTACACATTGTTTGGAGATATCAAAGCCTAAGAGGCGGCCCTTGGTGACAGCAAACTTACACTTGTCTGGGTTAAGAGTGAAGCAATGATGCCAGCAAGCTCCAAGTGCCGCAAATGCTCCTCAAAAGACCCACAGTGAATCACCTAGCATGTCGTGAAAGGCAAATGTCATGAAATGTTGGACATCTATGCAAATCCACAGCTTGCCATTAACTTTCCACACCAGAACCATGTTGGACACCAATCTCTTGACTCCCGCATGTAGAAGTATCTCCTCCTTAATTGATGGCAACAATGCTGTGTTGAAATGTCCTATGCCTTGGCATTGTCAAAGAGCTTGATCTCATGGCAATGACCTCTAAGGTGGGCAAATGCGTCTTTGAATGAACAAAGAAGCTCCAAGAGCTGGTTTTCGTATGCACTCATGAAGACTGGATCTGAGTCGTCCGAGAGGAAGGCCTGCTTGCAACGATCATCTAGGGTCAGAGATGTGTTGGCAGCTCGAGCTTGGGTCTATCACTGGCGCGTCTACAAGATTAGAGTCAAACATGTCTAGTGGTGGCTCCGTGGCCGTTGTAGGAACTCGTTCATGCATCACCTTGATCGCTTCATGAGAAAGTTTATCCGCCCAGAAATTCCTGGTGTGTGCGATGCTCAGAAAAGTGACAGTGTCAAAGAGGGATGTGAGGTCAATAGCTCACTGCCACAGGTCACGAATATTGGTTTTGTGGAAATGATACTCGCCATTAAGTTGCCAGATGACAAGCTGAGAGTCTCCTGTGCATTGGACGTGGCAGATTCCATGTTGTGAGGCAAGCTCCATGGCAGAGATCATGGACAAATACTCTGCCTCGTTGGCTGAAGTTGCAAGAAGTGTTGTGGAGAGCTGAGCCACATTTTGCTATTTGTCACTCCAATTCCTGCTCGATGACCATGCACCATTGAAGTAAGCTGTAAAGAGTTCTGGAGGGCTCTCAAAGAGAGATGAGGAATTAACAATGCTCTCCAGATCTGCTTCGTGGCCTTGGGAGTCAGCAATGAGAGGTGTCACTGAGAAAGGTGACGGCGGCAAAGGAACTGGGATTGCGAGCTGAGCAGCCTCCAAAGCGGTAGCAACTGAAGGAAGATCATTAGTGTAGGTGGAGCTGGTGCTAGGGGTCTCGTTGCCACTTTGTGTCGCCACTGGGGAAATGGCATTTGTGGTGTTGTCAAGAGTGACCGAGTGTTGAGCTTGACAAACAAGTTCCGAGGGAGTGTGCTGTAGGATGGAAGTACAGTGGAGAATGTGGATCCCAGGGAGAGAAGCATCTTGTAGCAGCTCTGGAAAGACCACTAGAAAGGAATCTATCATCTATGGAGTGCTGTGAGCAGCTGCAAGGGAAGAAACCACTGGTGACAACACGAGGGAGCCTTTCTGATTGGAGAAGGTGGCATGATGAATGCCATCCGAAATGGAGAACAATCCCTTGTGTCAATCTGTTTGAGCATGGATGGCATCTTGCCAGCTTCATCCAAGGATTAATTGTACCTCCAATGTTTTGCCTTTTTTCGTTCGTTTTATCGGAAGAAAGTGGTGTCTTGTAGTTTACCACCAAGAAATCGACCAAGGTCTCAACATCTTTGCAAATGTCCCTGGGGATGACAAAGTGTTGGGCAAATTTCTTAAGCATGATGGGGATGTTGTGCTCTGTAAGCTCTAATCCCAGTGCATGCATGACTGTGAGGGACATCATGTTATTTCCAGAACCGCAGTCTACCAATGCAGTTCCTGCCATATGCCCTCGATAAGTGACAGGAATGAGAAAAGCTCCAGGATCTGTCGCCTTTGCCTGGACTTAGGACAACCTTCATGGGCTGTCTCTGAGGCGAAGACTGAAGTGATGAAATGCCACTGAGGTGATGGGCCTTGGAAATCCCCGAGAGAAATATCCAAATGTAAATCACAGAGCTTTTGTGTGACATATTTAAGGAACTTGAGTGTGACATTCTGCTGCTAGAAGGCGGAAATCTCCTGGAGTGCATTTCCACTGCTGCTCCTGGAAAAGGTGCTTGAGCTGGAAGTGGTTGAGGGAATGGAAGTTGAATTTCCGTTGGCATCGAGCTTGCTTGAGGTGATGGTGGGGGATCTAGACCAGAGAAATCATTTGAAACAACATGTATAGGAACAGCCTTCTTTTTTCGAGCTCAAGTAGTCATGACAACCTGGTAAAGTCCTCAGCTGGAAGAATCACATAGATGCCAGCGATTTTCTTTCCTTTGTCCAAAGCTGGCAGAGCTTCCTGTAAAATCTGACAATAGCTCGACTTGGCTGCAATCGAGGAGTTGTCCACCAAAGGTTGCTGGAGAACTTGCTGAGGCTGTAGGCGTTGCTCAGGGTGTAACTTCCAACAGCGTGATTCATCGTGTGTACTCAATTTGCGGTGATTGCAAAAGAGACGATGACGATCAACAACATCCATCCTAAGGTATCTTAGCTCTTCTAAAATCTCTACCTGCTGTGCTTGCTATTGTTGGAGAATGTAATATTGTTGGATTTCCACCAATGTGACATCCACTGTACTCAAGGATTTCTCCTTGGAAGAGCTCTACCTAGGGAAGAATTACCAAGTTAAAGTAACCTGTCTAAAAGCCATAACTCATCTATAGTAAAAATAAATATATAGATTAATATTAATCCCAAGATTAGAAAAGTCCTCCCCTAAACTAAAATCTTTGTTAGTAAGGATTGCCATCACTTCTTGGGGCTTTGGCTAGTTTAAAACATTTTAGTTGCCTTTTAAATAAAATTAAGAATATTGAAGAAAGGTGGGTTATGTGATCAGTCAATATTAATTATTTTATGATTAAAGATTTTACTATACACACAAAGTGCCGAAATCAGTCTACTTATACTGGCCCAAAGTACAAAATTAATAGATGAACAATATCAAAGTCATTGACAAAAATATCTTAGAAATATCGAATTAATTAATGAATAAAGCTAACATTAAAACATAAAAATTATTCCAAGTAAGTTATCATCTAATAAACTAATATGATAGAAACTATAGAGATCATGATAGTTTAAAAACAAAGGATTAACTATCTAACAAAATTCAATAACAAATATATCATTAATAAAACTCAATGATAAAGCTTAACTACCACTAATTCTTCTTTAAGGAATATTTGGTGTTGGATTAGTTTTAAGTTTGGTCAGAAAAGAATTGACATAAGCCTATATTGTGAACAAAGCTGGTGGTATTAGGTGTTGTAAATTTTTATTTATGGGATATTATATTTATATTGAATTTTGTTGTTTGAGTTGGCACTAAATATTAAACTAGTAGTGATATGGGCTTTACTTGTGATAACTCAATTGATGATTAAGTCATAGTGATATCCATATCATATATTTATGATTGTGAGTAATAAAGTTACTTAGTTAAATAGTTTTAGTTATTTTAGATTAGTTTATGACTAATCTGTTTTGTAGCAGCTTTGACTAAGTGATCTACTATACTAATTTGGTGTTAGTATTGTGAGTTTGCTTATTGAGTGTTGGAAAAGAGTTACAATATTCATTTACTATACTTGAGATAAATTATTAGACTTCCTTTTGGGTTACCTTTATTATATGAGATTATACTAAGAGACAGATATAATCTACAAATACCTATTTCAACTAAGTTATATAAAGGAGTAAAAAGTTTAATAAAAAGTCAAAAAGTTACTTAAGTTTGAATTTCTTTAGCCAAGTAAGGCTTTTTTATCAATGTTGTTTAATGTATATATGTATTAACTATTATGCCTTAAATAAGAAGACAATGAAGGATAAAATATTAATGTTATGTTATTTTAGATAAGTTTGGTGAAGCTCGTGTGTTTATCAAGCACTACAACCAAACTAAATGATCTAGCATCATATATTACCTCCTCACCACCCAATCAAAAATAGGAAGATCTTGAGAGCCAAACTTGCTGGAGCCAATTTGAGAGGAATGTTCAAAATTGTCTTTTGGTAGCTTGATGTGAATTTGAGGCTAAAGGTTATCCATATGCTCAAGGACAATAGTTAGCGAGCTCCATTCATCTCAAGACATAGTCATTTGTGGAAGCACGCTAAGCTAAGTTTGCTAAATATCTAACTTTTATACTATAAAACATGTGTAGATCCAAAAAGAAATAAACTTCTTATTGAGGATCTAACCTTCACACCAATTTGAGCACAAGTCCAGATGCTAGAAAGTTAACTTACACGAAAGTAACATTTTGTCACTGTTATATTTCGTGATCAATCTACATCATGAGATGAAGCTGTGGAATGTTCTCTTGGTCATGGTTTACTGCTCACATGCATCAAAATAAATAGTGGGATTCATCGACATCACAGAGCCCGATATTCATATCTTGGTAAAGTTGGCCGCCGTAAAAACCATGCAAGGAGGCATTACTTTTAATTTTCTCGATCTTTGGCTCGCGTCGAAAGTTACCGTTGAAAGAATTCGATGATGATTACTTTAACCCCTAACGCTAGCCCGGAATATCCCCACCAAAAGATCCAGGCCGTCGATCGCGTTGCCTCTCGACATTCCGCCACGAAATGCCGACCCGGCTTACGATGTAACAGTACCACTAGTTACGGTAAGACAGAAGAAGCGAGTTCCCTACAGTGGCACTATCTTCCTCTTTAGATTTGTTTTTGTTTCTTCTGCCGCAAGGAAAAAGCTGGGAGCAGCGATCGAGCGATCGAGCGAGCGGTTTCATCACGGAGAAGATCAAAATGTCTGGAGGAGGGGGAAAAAATGACTACCAGCATCTGGTTCAAGAGCAGCTCCCCGAGCTCGACTACTGTGTCAATGACAGCCCTCCTCTCGGTTTGTGCTTGCGGTTTTTCCGATCGATCGATCGTGGGTTTCTTATGTGTGACTTTCTTGGTCTCGTTCTTTTTTTTTGAGCAGCCGAGACCATTCTTGTCGGATTCCAGCACTATCTTACCATGGTCGGAACAACGGTTTTGGTCACGACTCCTCTCGTTTACGCCATGGGGGGGAACGATGTAAGTTTTCTTGTTTTCTGGAAAACCTTGAGCTTTCTTTGAGCGTCTTCTTGTTCTCGATCTCTGATAGAGAGAAAATCGGTTGCTTGCTCTTCTTCTTTCTTTCTCAGAGGGACAAGGCTCGAGTGATTCAAACGCTACTCTTTGCGAGCGGCATCAACACGCTCATCCAGTCCTTCCTTGGAACCAGGCTTCCGGCCATTGTGGGGGGCTCCTACGCTTACATCCTCCCCATCTTCAGCATCATCAACTCTCCCAAGCTGCGAGCCATCACAGACGATCGCGAGGTACAAAAAAATCCATTTTTCTTTCTTCTGATCCAAAGCTGACCCTGAAAGTGGTATTTTGTTTCGTTCTTCTCAGAGGTTTCTTCACTCGATGAAAGCTATCCAGGGAGCTCTCATCTGTGCCTCCATTCTCCAGATAGTCCTTGGCTTCAGTGGACTCTGGGGTATTTTTTCAAGGTATAGTTTAAGACTCGATCGTTTCTTTTTGTTTTTCCTGTCTTGGAACACTAGGCCTTGAAAATCCATTCTCTGTTTTGTTCCATGTCCCCAGGTACACGAGTCCTCTCACTATCGGTCCCGTGATCTTGATGGTCGGCATTGGGATGTTTCAGCTCGGCTTTCCCGGGGTATCTTATAAAAAAAAAATTCTTTGCGCGAAAAAGATAAATCTTTCTTTGATCACAGGTTGGAAAGTGCGTCCAAATTGGGATCCCGCAGATTCTTCTCATACTCCTGTTCTCTCAGGTATTTAACGCAGAAGTAATTTTCTCTCGAGTAGTTTGTGTGATTGTTTCTTGCATTTTCAGTATCTCAAGACGCTCAAGGCGAGCAAGAAGATGCCATTCTTCGAGCGCTTTGCAATTGTCATCGCCGTGGCTCTCACCTGGGCCTACGCTCACTTCCTCACTATCACTGGCGCTTACAAGCACTCGAGCGAGCTAGGACAGATCCACTGCCGGACTGATCGGGCCAATCTCATTCGATCCTCTCCATGGTATGGACATGAAACTGTCACAAGATTAAAACTCTCTACTTGTTTGTAGGATTCGTGTTCCATACCCACTGGAATGGGGAGCTCCAACTTTCAACGCGAGCCATGCGTTTGGAATGCTTGCTGGTGCCATTGTGTCACTAGTCGAAGTAAGCTCTGTTGTTTTGTTGAAATCCACTCGATCACTCGGCTATTTTCTTTTCTTTCGAAGTCGACTGGATCGTTTTATGGGATTGCGCGGCTCGCTGGTGCTACGCCACCTCCCTCGTACGTCCTGAGCCGTGGCATTGGCTGGCAGGTTTGTAGACACAGCTTTTCCGAAAGTTTGCATAAGATCCATCACTCTTTCGATTCACAGGGTGTTGGAATTTTCATAAATGGTATCTTTGGAACGGCAGCTGGTCCGACTATCTCTGTGTAAGTTCTTCGCGTTTTTGCTGTCTGTTCTGTAAAGGTGGGATCTTTTTGCAGTGAGAATGCGGGGCTTGTTGGTATCACTCGAGTTGGAAGCCGTCGAACCATCCAAGTCGCAGCTTTCTTCATGATCTTTTTCAGCTTGTTCGGTAAGAACTTCTCAGGTTTGGAAGACTCACGATCTAACGAGTAACTGAATCGTTTCCAGGAAAATTCGGTGGTATCTTTGCATCGATCCCCGCGGCAATGGTGGCTGGCATCTACTGCGTGCTCTTTGGAGTCTTGGGTGAATTTTCTTTCTCTAACCCTCTTTTCTGTAACGTTTGAATGTCACGTTTGATCTCTCTATCCTAGCTGCGAGTGGTGTCTCGTATCTCCAGTTCACAAACCTCAACTTGCCTCGCAACTTGATCATTCTCGGCTTCTCCGTGTTCATGGCTTTCTCCGTCCCGGAATACATTCGAGAGTTTACAATCTCGGCTGGACACGGCCCAGTTCACACGAAATCACACTGGGTAAGCTAGCTTCTTCTCGAGAATCACTACGTAGGCACTAAACTCCGAGTCTGGTCACGCAGTTTAACGATATATTGAACGTGACTCTCTCGTCCGGGCCAGTGATTGCGCTGATCGTTGGCGTCGTCCTCGACAACACACTCAAGCTTAAGGTGACAAAGAAGGATAGAGGAGCGAATTGGTGGAAGAACTTCCGGACCTTTGGAGCTGACAAGAGGAACGAGGAGTTTTACAAGCTGCCTTTCAATCTCAACAAGTTCTTTCCTCCAGTGTGACTAATAGAGTTGTATCTAAAGATTAGTTTTTGTTTGACTTGGGTCATTTAAGAGAAACGGTGACGTACTTCTAACGAGTATCCAAGCAGGCTCTCAATGTATCCTTTGGAATTGCACCTTGGTTTTGGCCCTTTCCTGTGTGTGATGACAACAGAAGGCAGATAGGTAACCTCAATGCCCTTTTTGGGCACGGGTGATGAGAACAGAAGACTTGTGGAGGATCCAATTTGACAAGCCAAAGCCATAATCAAGGCAGAAAGCAGAAGAGGAATAGTTGGCTAGCTTTGGAAAGCATCTGTAAAAGAAGCCTAAGGGACCGACCTGTGTGCGCACCCTTAGTATGAGAACAAAAACTCTCTCCCTAATTAAGTTAGATATAACCCCTTTAAAAATGTTATGTCAACTAAATTCAACAAATGCCTTTTTCTTGGCATATATGCACTAGATTCACCCCTTTCCCCATTGCTGTATCAATTGAGGGGTGCATTGAATAAGGGGTTAAAATTTCCTGATTAAAAGTTCCCCTTTTTGAAGGGTTCCTTTCCACCCCTCCTAAAATTTTAAAGTTATATGTAACCCCTTTTAAAAAGGCAATCATTAATATCAAATTGCCATTTTATATGTGTCATTATTTTATTAATTTGTTCTATTGAGTTCCAGGCATGAGGAAATATTTTGGGGGGACACTAAATTCCCTACCTTCTGTGCAATGTCATTGGCAGAGTGTATAGAACAAAGGGTTAAAAAGTCCCCCCTTTAAAAAAATTTCCCCACCCTACTGTTAGGATAGGGTTCCACAGAAGGAAGATTTTCAAGGGGGAAACTTTTAACCTCTTGCTCCATGCACCCTGCTAGTGACATGGCATTGGACTTGGGGGAAGGGGGCAAACTTAGTGTCCCCCCCTGAAAATTTCTCCAATGCCTAGTAGAATAAATTAATAAAATGATGCCACATATAAAAATAGTATTCATTACTTATAAAAAAAATGAATTTAGAAAATTATATCAATGACATTACATTAATCTTAAAAGTTTAGAGAGGGGGTGGATGGTATATTAATTGGGGTTTAGACTATGAATGGATGGACCAAATTCAATTTTAATTGTACTGTTCATATTCTACACTGTGAAAACATATGTATATTATTTCATATTAAAACATTATACTTTAAAGCAAGCTTGTCCGGCAATCCAATCGCTAGAGGTACCTGTTTAATTTCCACAACTCTTCTATTGCTTCCATAGCTTCAATTGATGTATAAGCTTTTGCTTCTTGTTGTCAATGTCTTGAAGTTTAAAGAACAAATTAATCTAGAGCTAGAAGAGGTGGACCATCCACTTAGGCATACTTGAATTAGCATTGCCTTGAAATCCAATTTGAGTCAAAGCATTCAAATCATTATATGATGCCTAAATGATCATATGATATATTTCATTTGATGCTACCAAGGGAAGCCATTCCCATGACCCTTTTCATCCCCCACCCTTTGCCACCCCTTCCCCCCCTTCAGCCCACCTAGTGCCCAGAAACCCCCACCAAACACACCACCCAATGTACCAGGTAGAACTTGTCAGCTTGGAGGATTAGGGTGATGTTGTGGTGGGCTCCCCAGCAAGCAAATGAAGAAAGTATCAATGTGCATGTCTAAATCCGTTCACCTACTGCAACCTCTAAGGTTTAGTGGGGACATCAAATCGATCCATACAGTGCCTGTGCTTGGTCTTTTGGGGCAGTTCTTGAGTGGCTCAGGGGGATGTCCTATTGAAAATGCCTAGGCAATAAAAGGGTGGATTATATTTCTCTTCAAATTAGTCTTAGTGTAGTTGGCAGAAGCATCAAGATGGGTTTGCAGAGACCACTATCTTTGGTGTTTGATAACAATCTTGAGCCAATGACCAACAAAGTACCCCATGCCCAGCAGAATGTCCACAGTACACATTCTGATCAATCTGCACTGGTCCAAACAAGCAGTAGTGCACTCATCTTTAGGGGCATGGCCCATGTTGATCATGTTACCATTAGGATGATATAAAAATATCAAGAGAAGGAAAGAAAGAGAGTTTGGACATAGAAGTGGGTTTGGCCAAGATGGTGGGAGGGTGCTTAGCTCAGATTGGCTTTGCTGGTGACATGCTTCTTCTTCTTCCTGTTATATATTGTCTCTCGGAGGGCAATCACCCCACTCACCCTCACCAATCTCAATCCTTTATCATCGGGTTTGATGTGAACCACCCATTGCAGCTGGTGGTGCAATGGCTGCTCACACCACCCCAATCAATCATGTGTGGGTCAACACCATCAAGTAGCTGTTGAGACCATCTGCTCTGCTAAATGGCCTATCCCATCAGCAAGTGGGGTAAGATAGAGGCCATCACAGCCAAGGAGAGGTCCATGTGTGGTAGGGCACACAAACATTAGAATTGCCTGTTGGGTGTGATTGAGCACACTTTCCTGGAGGGCATGTTCATGTAGGGGAGAAGCAAGTGGGAAGGCCAATGATCTAGATGCCTAGTCTTGCTTGTGTAAAGGTTGTGGGTTAAGGCTGATATCCTTTTGCTCCACCCACATTGGTGGTGGCAGCAATAGGGGTCAGATCATCACCAATGATGCTTGATCAGGGAGAGGGTGCAGCAGCCACACATAGGCTGTGGTTCCTCAGTATTATCATGGAAAAATGGGTGTTACGGAGAAAAGAAGGAAACAAAGGGGAAAAGGGAAAAGGGGTTGGAATGGTGAAATCGCGAAATGGTTGGCTTAGTTGAGTATTTGGTCGCCAGTCGGATTACAAGTCCGACGAGAATAGAAAGAGAGGCTACACAATTGGCCAGTTGTACAACTCCTCGATGCGCACTAAGTACTTGGCCGTCAACGGAACTGAAGGTGGGCAAGGATGGCACAAGTCACAGAATCAACAAAAACCCAAAACAAGTGAATGCACTGGTACAACAGAAAGTAAAATTGAGTGAAAACTAAATGCATCTCGGTGTCAATCCCGGAACACAGAGTAGGAAGTCAAATCTCACAAGCAGTTGATAAAGAAAAGTTTTACAGAGCTTTCCTTTGTGCAGAGTAGAGATGGGATAAAATTCTCACTCTCACAGCTAGCCTTTTTATACGAAGTCCTTGGCAACCGTGTCCGTGCTTGTTGCCATGGTCCTTTCAGGTTCATGTCTGCAGTACAGATGTTGTCATCTGGCAACCGCTCCTGGTAACCGCTCCCGGGTCATTTGTACCCGTCCGGTGTTCGAGTCTGTTGTAGAGTTGCTGCTGTAGAGTGTCAAACCAAGATCACTGAGAAACTGAAGTTGGAGTCATTGGGTTGGAACTTGGGCAGTTGGACCTTGAGTCCACCAGCATTTTGATGTTTGAACTTGTGCTGCCAAATATTCCTTCTGTCTGACTTTTTCCTTTATCACTCAACTATTCCACCATAGGAGGACAGCTAGAATATGGGTGTCAAGATGGCATCAACTACTGGATTGAAGGGACCTAGTGCAATGGGGAACACTAGCAAAGTCAATCTCATGCACCCCGTCAAAGGAACAATAGGTAGGCAGAACACACCACACCTACCCATCTTGGCCATCTTGGTTTTGGGGTAGTGATTAGATCTCAATTGGTCACTAGTCACACTTGTCAGGCCTAGTACTCCCATACCACAATACCACCCTGTAAGCGACTAATTTTTCCATTCTAATTTAGTCACTTAACCACACCTTTGACCATTTGGAGGAGTCTCTTTCACAACTTCCATAAGTTCAATTTAGGACTTGGGGCTTACGAGCCCTGAGAATGGCATCCATGCCACTTAACCTTTGCACTTGGTCCAAGTGCTCCACGTGTCTGATCCCATGACCAACACCCCAAGGTACCATCGATATATCAACCTATTATGCTAATGCTATGCCTATTCACCTTGGTCACATTGGTGGTCCAACACCACCTGTATCACAGTCCCGTCTCTCAAATACTAAGCTATCCATCCATGAGTGATCATCTTAGATCCACTCCTTAGCATCCTTAAGATGCCCATAGACATGGGAAATAACCTTCTCCAATATCCCTTTTACAGTCCCCACTAAGTCCCTTTTCTGTCCATGACCATATTTGCCAACACTAACACTAAGACAAGGCCTACAGGCCCAACCACTAAGTCCTACTATTTCCTCACCACATGACCATATTCTTGGTCATTACACTAGAGGACCACTCCTCTTCTTTTCTATAGTTTGGGATTTTGGGATAACATTTTGAAACACTGTGGCCCTACGCAAGTCTCGTAGGTACTCTCCCCACCTTCCGCCTTTGGGTGCTTTAGCCGTGGGCTTAAAACAAGGTTTTGTTGAGCCATGCTAGGTATCCAAGTAGGTAGTGCCACTCACGCTTGGATTGGGAGTATCGACGATTCAATCTCCTGAGGGAATTAGAGTTGGCTCTTGAACACTTCACCAAGCTACCCCATTTGTTAGTCCATATTCATTTTAGCTTTGGACTTCCTAGTGGTTATCTCATCACCCAACAGCTGGGTATGGCCTTCTTGGGCCAAAACTGGCCTTTTCTGGCCAAACTGGCTCCCTTGGGGTCAAACCCCCACACTCTCCCTACTATACTTTTGGAACCCTTTGCAGCCTGCTCCCCCCTCCCCCCACGCCCCTTGGGGGACGATCGCTTTAGGCTTTCACCCAACAACCTGTATTAGTATTCGGACTTGGACTCGGACTCGGACTCGGATTTGGACTCAGTCTCGGTCTCGGTCTCGGTCTCGGTTCCATCTTGGACTCCATCTCGGACTCCATCTCAGGTCCATCTCGAACTCCATCTCGGGTCCATCTCGGACTCCATCTCGGGTCCATTTTGAACTTCATCTCGGACTGCATCTCAGACTCCATCTTGGGTCCATTTCGGACTCCATCTCGGGTCCATCTCAAACTCCATCTTGGGTCCATTTCGGACTCCATCTCGGGTCCATCTCAAACTCCATCTCGGGTCCATTTCGGACTCCATCTTGGACACTTCCATGTGTCATATATTGATCCTTTTGTGTCCCTTTTCTAAAGACTCACTTATTGCTCACTTTAT